GTCTCTATATGGAGAGAAAAAGCAAGATATATGAAAACATAATAAACAAATGAATAAATATTTAAAATGAAAAACAACCAACATATGCTTAATGGTATTTCAGTGGAAGAAAGACCCTAGGGGCCATCCAGTACAACACTTTTCTGTCAGACAGTAAGGGCACAATCAAAGCACCCCATACAGATGGCCATCCATCTGTTGTAATAATAATAATAATAATAATAATAATAATAGCAACCCCAGTGGCCATCCAGTCCATCCCCTTATGCCATGCAGGAAAAGCATAATCAAAGAACCCCCTGACCAGTGGGAGGGAAATAGGGTTTTAGAAGCAAAGAAGGCAGGGAGGGTCTGGGTGCCAAGAAAAAGTGTCCGGGCAGCAAGAGAGGTGGGGAAGCAAGAGAGGTGGTGGCAAGGAAGGTGAGGGAACAGGGTGTGTGCTTCAGAAGAACAATGCTACTGCTGCAGTTGTTTCGGTAGCTCCAAACTTTAATTTCCCTGCACTTCTGAGGAGGAAAGAGGAGATAATGGAAAGCAACATGGCTCTGCAGAGCCCCTCACTATCACTTATTTATTTATTTATTTACCTTATATACCACTGTTCTCAGCCCGAAGGCGACTCACAGCGGTTCACAACAAATAAGAACAGCAAAAATTCAATGCTACAGTATAAAAAAAAGTTAATAACCTAACACATTACATAATTAATAACAATTACTACAATAACCATTCATTATCGTCTCATCATCAAAAACATGATCCAGGTTCGTCATCCATTGTTCCATTCCAGTGTTCATTAACCAATCATTGCACTAATTATTCGAACGCCTGCTCAAACAGCCAGGTCTTCACTTTTTTGCGGAATACCATTAGAGATGGTGCTAGTCTAATGTCCGTAGGAAGGGCGTTCCACAGCCGAGGAGCCCCAAGAGCTCAGCGGAGCACAGTTTGAGAACCCTTGCCATAATGTATAGCAGGGAGATTATGCATGATAAGGATCTAGTTTTAGAGATTTCTATGGCACATGTACTAGACAAAAGAAACTCATATGACCCATAACATTTGAAGAATTCTTAGTCAAACATGAACTGTGTCTGGCATGTGGACTTGCTAGGAAACATCAGCATTTAGGTAACTAGATTCCTTCTAGTTTCAAACTCCTTGTTTTTTTCCTGCAAATACCGTGGGGATTTTGCATTCTACTGAAACTTTCTTTATGTGTTATTCTCTGTAGAAAACAAATAGGATTGCAGTGAATATTTCACAAAGCTAGCCTTTAACCTAAACTGAATGCCTGTATGACAACTAGGCCATCCTCCCCCGACTTTTTAAAGGGTTAATCGCAAGGTTGAAAATTCCACTGCATTCAGTCAGTTTGGAACCGAAGGGTAAAATGTCACTTTTGAAACAAGGTTAAGAAGGTTGCACAGCTGCAAACAATAATAACTCGATGAAAATCAGATTCTCATTGCAGCCTACTTCAAGAATAACATTGGAACAGGAAACAAGCCGGCATGATAGTCTTCCAGTAAACCCGTTGAAATGTTTGCAGATACTTTATTTTTTTTAATGCTAAAACTTAAAAGTTTAGTCATTTCACACCATTCCTCTCCAGCAGGTGTGCAATGAAGAAATCATGTTTATCTGAACTAGCAAGAAGGGTAATAGGCAACTTGGGGGTGAGGAGTGGGGCTAAAATAATTTGAAGACCAGTGCTGCTTTTGATTATGCATTTTTATTTCTTTGTTTGTCAGTGCTTTTACATGCTGTTAGTATAAAAGCCATGAACACCTTGTTGGAAACATGAAGAACAAAATAAAAAATTAACCACATTTGCGGGTTTGACTTTTTGCGGATTTGATCATTCATGGATTTTTAAAATGTTCTTTCTGAGAATCTTTTGTCCTCCAGTGTGACTATTATGGTCAACTTCCTCCAATCATTCTGGAGGATCGATTTCTAAAGGGAGTACCTCTTTAGGAATCTCTGGATCCTCTCATGCTATTCTATGGTTAATTTCCAGTGGAAGTTGACCATTGAGTTGTGTTAGTACAGTGGTTCTCAATCCTAACAGCTGGTAAACTGGCTGGGATTTCTGGGAGTTGTAGACCAAAACACCTGGGGACCCACAGGTTGAGAACCACAGTGCTAGAAGACCTTCAAATGTCTAGAACTTAGTTCTCTCAGGCAAACAAAAATAGCTATTTTAAAATTTATGTTTTTCCACTTTCATGAGTTACAACGCCCCTCAATGGAGCAAATGTGGAGGGATGGCTTGCCATATTTTCTTAATGAACAATACTGAAGAAACGTTCAAATTGAGATTCCATTCCCTGCCATTTCAGTTTACTTATACGAGACTGTAATAATCTGGCAACCGTAGCTTCCACATTTTGCAAAATAATATTTGCAAATGTGTCTATGTTTATATTTGCTAGCATGCTGCACTAGTAACCAAACAGCAAGTGGATATGGAGAGTTTGGTCTCTTTTATTCAACAATGAATCCATCAGTGTTTCTGAATATGTGTTTTACTGTGTGTCAATGATTAGTTTACTCACGATTATTTCCAGTTCATTCAAATCTCCTTTATACTGCAAAGGTGTATGCCTAATACCCCAAAAGAGGATCAGGGAGCCCCCTATTTTCCCATTGCTTATGTTCTTTAGTTTAACAATACCTTCAAGAGCCCCCTTCTATTTTTTGGCATCTTTTACCTTTAACAGCAATGCCTTAGCTCCTATATTCCTGTCCTTTTCCGTTTCTTGGCAATCTTAGGAGTGGCACCTCAAGGAGTAGAGACTTGTCCCCAGATACTTATTTGTAAGCTATTTATGTATCATGTCAGAAGCGAATTGAGGGTACAAGTTATAAGGTGTTTAAAAACACAAATAAAGTGTAACACTTGGCATTAAAGCTAAATGTCCTTTGACCAGAAGGTGGCCACCTGGAGTACCTCTGGTGTTGCTATGAAATGGTCCTCCATTGTGCATGTGGCAGGGCTCAGGTTGCATTGTAGTAAGTGGTCTGTGGTTTGCTCTTCTCCATGCTCGCATGTTGTGGACTCCACTTTGTAGCTCCATTTCTTAAGGTTGGCTCTGCCTCTTGTGGTGCCAGAGCATAGCCTGTTCAGTGCCTTCCAGGTCGCCCAATCTTCCATGTGTCCAGGAGGGAGTTTCTCATCTGGTATCAGCCACTGACTGAGGTTCTGGGTTTTCACCTGCCACTTTTGGAATCGTTTTTTGAGGTGTTCCTGCGAGTATCTCTATAGATCTTAGGAAGCTATTTTTTTTATTTGAGGCATTGGCTTGCTGGCTGATATTCAAACAGAGGATGGGTCGGAGATGTCAATGCTTGGTCCTTTCATTACAGGCTGCTACTTCCCAAAAGGGGAAGAAGGTACAATTACCTGAATTGTACCTAGTGGTTTCTGCATTATATCTAATACTCTCCAAAGAGTCCAAGAGGCCTCCTCGTTTCCCATTCCTTTTTCACCTCAAGAATAAATGAAAACTCTAAAACCTACACCCTTCCAAAAGAGATGATAACTGTGAAATCAAACTAGTTTAATATGCATTATGCAGAGTTTCAAACCCAAAATGTTAATAGTTAATTACTTTAAACTTTGGGGCTGATATCATAAATCTGTCAGCACTGCTTTCTCAGCATCTTTTTTTTTAAAAAAACCCCTTCATCTTTTTTTTTTTTTAATTTTTGGCAATCTATAATTACTTTGAGAATTGTATTTCTTATTAAAATTTCACAAGCAAAAGGAAGCTAAAGCTGCTTCGTATGTTTCAGGCATATTGAGCCAACTGACAACCTACTAGCCTCCTTTATTATCAGTGTAATATATGCAATTGTAATCTTTTGGATTTTAAAACAATTATCACTTTGCTAGAGCAGGAAAAGTTTCTGCCTTAGAGTACATCTCCCAGAAGCCCAAAGGAACATAACCATACTGCCTTAATGATAACGGGAGTTGTAATAAACAAAGTGCGGTATATACTCGAGTATAAGCCAACCTGAATATAAGCCGAGGCACCTAATTTTACCACAAAAACTGGGAAAACGTATTGACTTGAGTATAAGCTGAGGGTGAGAAATGCAGCTGGAAATTTTCAAAATAAAAATAGAAGCCAATAAAATTGCATTGAGGCATCAATAGGTTAAATGTTTTTGAATATTTACACAAAACTAATTTAAGATAAGACTGTCCAACTCTGATGAAACTATTATCCTAATCTTCTCCAATGTAAATGTGCGTATATATCCTTCCAATAATAACAAAGAGAATAAAATAATGAATGTAATAAAAATAATAATTGAGTAAAATAATAAATGTCATAATAATATATTAAATAGAGTAAAATAATAAATGTAATAAGATAATAGAATAAAATACTGTAAATGTAATAATAATAACAATAGAGTAAAATAATAAATGTAATAATAATAATATGAATAAAATAATGTAAATGTAATAATAGAGGAAAATAATAAATGTAATAAAAATAATAGAAGAAAATACTGTAAATGTAATAACAATAATAGAGTAAAATAATAAATGTAATAATAACAATAGAGTAAAATAATAAATGTAATAATAATAATATTATGAGAGTAAAATAATGTAAATGTAATAATAATAGAGTAAAATAATAAATGTAATAATAACAACAACAACAATAGAGTCAAATGATAAATAAGTTTGACTCAAATATAAGCCGAGGGGTGCTTTTCAGACTAAAAGAGGGGCTGAAAAACTCAGCTTATACTCAAGTATATATATGGTAACTTTTCCCAAGTCCGTCTTTGCCTCCCCCAAAATCAGCCATAGTTTGCAATAGGAAAAGCAGAATTGTGTCTTACCTGCAATTCAGGTTTTCTCCAATTTTAGCTCCAAAATGCATCTTCCTCTGCTGGGTGCTACTTAATAATGAATCTTTTGATTTTTTCATCTAGAAAGCTTTTCTCACCACAATTTCTCTCTTATTTAGGTACCGTAATTCAAGTGAGAAAATCCTGTGTTGAAACAACATAGGATATTTTGCTTGACGCCTACTCCTTGGACAAGATTTGAAGCATGTAAGCAAGACAGTGTGGTTGCCCTCTCCTGATAAATGTAAACTGTAAGTTTCTCATGGACTAATTCAAAGCATGTTTAAACTTTCTTAGAATATGAAATGACATTGCATGATGTTTTCCTATCTGCTGGATAAGATATTATCATGATGCTATAATATATAGCCATATTATGTTTTACTTTGTGATATATATATATATATATATATATATATGAATATGAATAATATCGCACAACATTTCACAGGTGAAAATTGGGAGAAGTGAGGTCAAGGAACATGAAGCATCATTAAAATGGCAGAAGTTATTAATTAGGAAGATCATACAAGCTAAGAGAGGCTGCAGTGGTTTGACCTTACCTGAGCATACTGGGAACGAAAATATTCCACCCTTCATTTCCTTTCCCTTTTGCATTTTGAACTCAGCTTGCAACAACTGAAGTAAGTTGAGGACAAAGGGGGAAAGTAACAGAGAAAAACTGACTTTTTAAAAGAAGAAGAGAAAGTGAGTTGGCACAGGACTAATTCGGACAGTCCATGCCAAAACAAGATATTTGGATGGCATGAAATATTAAGCATGACTTTGGGGCTATACTCAACATGTTGCAAGTCAGAACCTGATAAGTCATTTTTAGTACTAACGGACTGTGTTCCCACTACTCACTATGATGTTTAAACAGTAATTTCTTGTTGTTATGTTTTCAACAGTACTATTAATAATAAGTTGGATTTCTTGCTTATTGCTTATAACATTACATTTACTTTAGAAAGAATTTTTAGTAAAAAGAAAAAAGAAAAGAAAAAAACTAGCTAAGTCACAATACAATAAAATATGGTAAGTATTGTAGATGTTCACACTTGTTAACCGATCCCTCATAGGGATTCCATATGAATATGAAAAATAGATTAAACAGTGAATTTTTAAAAAAAAAACAAGAACAAGCACTACAAACAGATATCATGGCATTTAAAAACAAACCCATAAAGCAATATGGTTGAAATGATAATCACCAGAAAATGCAAAAGGTTAAATTGATTCATGACATTTCTGAATGGCATAGCAACATTGAGAGAGATTCCTCTCCTAACTAAATTTCTTTTGACAGGCTAATTTTGTCTTCTTTGTAAGTGCATATAGTGCATTCATTCTGGATGGACATTAGCAATATTTATTTAATTACTCTATTTATATCCCGCCTTTCTCTACGCCGAAGGGAACTCAAGGTGGCTTTACATATGACAACTATTTGGTGCCTTTAAACAACAGACAATTAAATACATTTAAGTTAAAATTTAAAATCAGAGTTAAAATGAACATTAAAACATATAACCATTATAATCACTATTAAAATCACACCATCTATGTAATCTGGGGCCGTTCCAAGAATCATTGCACGTATTTCATAGCTATTATTGCACTGTAGTTTATCTCCAAAGGCTTGACCCCAGAGCCAGGTTTTCACTTTCCTTCTGAAGGTCAGGAGGGAGAGAGCTGCTCTAATATCACTGGGAGTTCCACAGCAGAGAGGCCACCACTGAGAAAGCCCTGTCTTTAGTTCTCACCAGATGTGCCTGCACAGGCCACGGGACTGAGAGCAGGGCCTCCTCCGACAATCTTAATCTTAAGTGGTTCATAGAAGGAGGTACGTTCGGACAGGTAAGCTGGGCCTTATAGGCTAAAGCCAGCACTTTGAATTGTGCTCAGTAGCAAACAGGCAGTGAGTGGAGCTGGCACAACAGGGGGGTTGTATGCTCCCTGTACACCGCTCCAGTGATTAACCTTGCTGCTGTCCATTGGACTAATTGAAGCTTTTGAACAGTCTTCAAAGGCAACCTCATGGATAGTGTTTTGTGGTAGCCTATTCGGTATTCAACCAGAGCATGGACTACCATGGCCAAGTCTGAGTTCCCAAGGTACGGGTGCAGCTGATGCACAAATACACAATTGGAAGCCTGATTTTAAAACACTGTTAAGAGTTTTAAAGGGAAAGTGGCAAAAAATTTTTATGTGTTATTTTTAAGCAAAGGTTATGTAACCCTTCCTCCAATGAATTCCTCCCAAAATGTGTTTTGCCACAGCCTCCATCATTCCCAGCCAACATTTTTCAATGCATCTAGAGGGCATCAGGTGGGGAAGGCTTGTCTATACTTTCCATATTTCCTGAAATTATAGGTAACTGTATATTTATGAATTCCCTCCCCCTCCTTTTCACTTTAAATATAGATTTATGAGGAATCAAAGATGAATTTGGAGCAGGAGAGGCCTTTTGTCTGCAATGCCCCGGGCTGCTCACAGGTGAGTTGAATCAGCAGGAATGTAAACCAAGTCTAGCTGTAGCATAATATATACTGGCTTATTAACTAGTATCTGATAATAATTTATAACTTAATTATAGTGTTTTTCTCCTCCCTCCCCAATCCCATCACTATTCTACCCCCCTGTACAGAAATATATAATTGTTCAGTTTAATGTTTCTGGAAATTTCTTTTGGCAGTCTTGAAAATGTGATTATTTTGTAGTATAAATCCCTGAAACCCACAAACAGAGCAGCTGTTAAATGGATGAAGAATGTAAATCATTTGGTCAAACTGTATTGAACATTCATGTTAGGTGGGAAATAGTCCATTTAGAATGCATTTTGCCATCTAAACTATAGGGCACAAATTGACATTGTCTGGATGGTGTAGAGAATGGAGTGTTTTTAAATCAGTTTGATTTGCAGGCCATCTATTCTGTCATAAAACCTCAGGATAAGACCACTTACATGTTCTGTTCATGGCGATCCTACCCCTATTGATTTTGCAAGGGGGGAAATGTGAAAAAGAGAAACGAAGGGGGGAGGGGAGCAAACATGGGAAACCTCCTACTTCATCACTTTTCTGTTGTCTGTCTAGGATTGCTTTGCTGGAAAAGTTGTTTTTTGACTATAAGAATCCCCCAGCCATCATGGCCAGCTGTTCCTCTATACATAACTTTTTGAATCTTTGCTGTGCGATGTACCATAACAGATTGTGAGGATAACTCCCTGTAATATATAAATAACTTTCTTCATTGGGTCAGCACATTTGTGCTCATCATTTTGAACAGGACTGTTACTCAGATTAATTAGTATAGAGAAAATAGGAATATATTATTTAAAGCAATTATTGAGAATATTGGACTGCAAAGTGTACACTGGACTGGATTTACCAACAATTCAAGAACATGTGACAGAATACAAAATCGTACTTGTATACAGGCAGTCCCTGAGTTACAAACATCTGACTTTCTAATGACTCTTAGTTAAGAACAGGGGTGAGACAACAGAAAGTGAGAGAAATCTACCCCTAGGAAGGAAAATTTACTCCTGAAAGAATTATCATTGGAAACAAGTGTCTCCAATGAAGCTTTAGCTCCAGTCCTTGTTTCCACAGCAAGCCATTTTTTTTCAAAATCCAATTTGCACAGGGTTGGAAAGTGAGGTATTTACCCTTCTCTTTGATATCTAAAGCTGACACCCACCCACACACACACACACACATGCATGCACACACACAAATGGCTGGAGTTACACTTAAAAATGTACTTGTTCTGACTTACAAATTCTTGTTTGACTTTGGTGACTGCCTATATTTTAGAATATGTATGACATTTCTGTTTCCAGAAAGGAATATGAAAGCCATTTCTATTTCCATACGCAAACTAAACAAAATGATTTAAAAACAAAAAGATATGCTCAAGAACAAAAATAACTGGAGCATTATGCTTTGAAGTCTCTTTATTGCTATCATTACAGGAAAATATGTACCTTCAAGTGCAAGACTTGAATAATGAATGGGGATTCCTTTTACTCTTACTTACCTGTAGCATTACATTCCACCTGTCTCTACAGAGCTTCCTTGTCATATTAATGGTTTAAAAAATGCAAAAAAAGTCCTGCCTATTGACCCTAAAATATATTTCAGAGATGATTGCCTTTTTTCTTCTGGGTTTGCCCAACAGCGTTTTCCGACAGAAGATCATCTGATGATTCACAGGCACAAACATGAAATGACTTTGAAGTTTCCTTCCTTGAAAACAGATAACATGCTATCAGGTAAGAAGACAGATTCAAGAAAAGCAACCAGCTGACTAGCTTTGTTGCTGATGTAGATGAATGCAGTTGCATTCTTTGGTTGTGACCATGTACATAACAGAGAGCACTCATGCCACATTTTGGTTGGTGGTAAATTCACATTCTCTTATCTACATCTAAAAAAATTAAAGTTGGGGTAATTTGCTTGTGCTAAAATAAGTTAACATTATAGTCAGCCCCACACATTTGCAGATTTCTCTTTCATAGATTTGTTTCTTCATGAGTTTGTAGCTGCTCCATAACCAAGCCAACTTCCTTGCTAGAGGGCTTCCAATATTTGTAGGTTTTCCACTTTCACAGGGACATACACCCCTAACTCCCACAAATGTAGGGTACTGACTGTAATAAGCATATACTTGGCCTTCCTCTGTATAGGAGAGTCATATGATGCTTAGTTATGTGTAGTTGATTGCCAGTGTTTGTTTAACAATGCAGCTGTAGTGGTTGTAAACTGGCTGGATGGGGAAAGAGTTCTTAACCCCTTTTCATTCTACAATGTTTCTTCCAAAAATATCTTCTTCAGATATATTTTAACCATCCTGCAAGAAAAAAAAAACTATTTAGCCCTCTTTGTGGGATTTTTGTCATATACACTGCAAACTTTGCAGCTACATTGTGTAAAATGTAACAACTGAAAACAAATAATAACCAAATCCTGCATGTAATTCCCTTGGAGCAAATAAGGGCATGGGTGTTACGGCCAAGGTTTATAAAGTCATCCAAGACATGGAGAAAATTTTTCTCCATAATACTAGAATCTAAGAATAGAATGAAACTGAATGGTGGGAGCTTTAAGACTGACAAACAATAGCACACTGTCACTTAGCACCATGTTCATTTATTTATTTGTTATATTTATATTCCACTTTTCTTCTAGTGAGCTTTTTTTCATGTCAGGAGCAACTTGAGAAACTGCAAGTCGCTTCTGGTATGAGAGAATTGGCCGTCTGCAAGGACGTTGCCCAGGGGATGCACGGATGTTTGATGTGTTACCATCCTTGTGGGAGGCTTCTCTCATGTCCCTACATGGGGAGCTGGAGCTGGCAGAGGGAGCTCAACCCGTTCTTCCTGGATTTGAACCACTGACCTGTTGGTCAGCAGTCTTGCTGGCACAAGGATTTAACACATTGCGGCACCAGGGGCTCCATTTCTAGTGAGCCGACAGTAGCATATATGACTCTCTTCTTGTGTCCATTTTACATTCACAACAGCACAACGCTGTGGTAGATTAGATTATGCTTGATGCCAAGAGAGTTAAATTTTGGAATTCACTAAGATGTAATGACACCGGAAAACTTTAAAACAGGGAGTAAAAGGCCAGTTATCCATGATGGCTACATACTATGTACAGTGTTTCTTTGAATAACAGTGGCTAGGAAACATCAAGGTTATATGGCCCTCATATTCCATTCTCATAAGCATCATTTTAATCACTAGGAGGCACTGAATGATGTATTTGGTGAGAGTTTTATCTGGTCCAAACTTCTTTTTTCTTATGTTTAAGCTAGTGTTACCTTATCTCCATTCCCTATACAGTAGACTCTCAATTAACCAGCACCCATGGGGATTTGGTAAATGTGGGGCATATATAGTTTCTGGTTCCTTGAGAGTTATTATTGAAAATAGGCCTAACTAATACTGTACTCCATACTATAAGGTAAAGGTTTCCCCTTGACATTAAGTTTAGTCATGTCCGATTCTGGGGGTGATGCTCATCTCCATTTCTAAGTTGAAGAGGCAGCGTTGTCCATAGACTCCTCCAAGGTCATGTGGCCAGTATGACTGCATGGAGCAATATCTATTAATCTCACATTTGCATGTTTTCAAACTGCTAGGTTGGCAGAAACTGAGGCTAAGACCGGGAGCTCACCCTGCTCCCCAGATTCAAACCACGAACTTTTCGGTCAGCAAGTTCAGCAGCTCAGTGGTTTAGCCTGTTACGCCACCGGGGGCTCCCTACTATACCAGACCATAAACTCTATATTAACTTGATATTAATATTGAAATATAGCAATTAAAAGCAAATAAAGACAAAGACAAACCTAACTTAATGTAACACTGTTTTACTGCATTATAAAAATAGGTGTTTTTTTTAAAAAAATCTTCTGGTTTTTTTTTACTAATCCCTTGAGATGTGTGGTTGATTTGAGAGTCTACTGTATTTAGAATGAAATAGATAGCTTATAGAGCTGTATAAAAGTCTTTCACTGCCTCACCTTCTCTACTGTGTCTTCATCCACAGTAGAAGGAATAAGGGAATTTCATAGCAATTAAAATGTGTGTGTTCATAGTATCATAGTTGCAGATGGGTGATGTTGTTATTCCTTTCCTTTCTCTCCACTTTAAAGGGAAGGTGTAGCTAAAGTGAAAAGGTTACTTTTGGGAATTACGTAGAGTATTATAGATCATTACGACTAGGAGCTGTGGAAACTATAGTAATACTTGCAAGTTCTATGTGAATCAGTCTGAAATCCACTCAGAAGTGGCAAAGTGTATATCCCAGAATTTCAAGGCAGAAAATCCCACAATATCTGCTTTGGACTGGGTTATCTGAGTCCATACTCAGATAATGTGCATTTTTCTGCCTTGATATTCTGGGATATAGGGTTGTGTGAAAGGACCCTGGGAGTCCTACCATTTTAAGGTACTCTTGCACAATTTGAGGGATAGGCAGAATTGATCTGGGGAAATGCATAACAAAATCAGCTAGCACCTTTCTCAGGGAGATTTCTAGGGCCCTTACACACAGCCATTTATCCCAGAATATCAAGGGATATCAAGGCAGAAAATTCCACAATATCGGCTTTGAACTGGGTTATCTGAGTCCACACTCAGATAATGTGGGATATAGGGTGTGGAAGGGCCCCTAGCTCTGATTTTCAAAGTGTGCCCTAGGCCCCTTTCACATAGCCCTATATCCCAGAATATCAAGGCAGAAAATCCCACATTATCTGAGTGTGGACTCAGATAACCCAGTTCAAAGCAGATATTGTGGAATTTTCTGCCTTGATATTCTGGGATAAATGGCTATGTGGGAGGGCCCCTAGCTCTGATTTTCAAAGTGTGCTATAGGGGCCTTCCACACAGTCCTATTTCCCTGAATATCAAGTCAAAAAAAATCCCACAATATCTGCTTTGAACTGGGTTACCTAAGTCCACACTCAGATAATGTGGGATTTTTTGCTTTGATATTCTGGGATATACAGCTGTGTAGAAGGGCCCCCAGAATATTAAGGCACAATATCTGTTTTGAACTGGGTTATCTGAGTCCACATGGTCATATATTCCAGTTTAAAGCAGAAAATGTGGGATTTTATTCAGCTATCTAGAAGGGCTCCTAGCAGCAGTGGAATTGCCATGTCCCACCCTTTGCCCACAACTGTTGGAGAAAATCACTAATGCTCAGAGAACAAGTAGCTGACCTTTGAAGGAGACCGAAGAATGTGGGCTGTTTTAACATACACCCCTATACTTCCAGCATGTATTATAATGGTATCGTTTTATCAGTGTCAAGTTTATATTTTTTGACTTTCTTTGCCTTACTTTGTAACTCTTGCTTTGTCCAAAGTAAATTTCTCCTACCTTGTAATTTTTCCATTTGTAAAAACTGACTCCAAGTATGGGAAAGTAAAGGTAAACTATACAACACAAGAGTAGCTTCCAGGGGATGATTCAGATTGCTCATTACTTGTAGAGAGCCAGTATACAGGAAGTGCTGTCAGCTTGCTGCCAAAATGCCACAGGTGAACACACATCAGAAGGTGGAAATGTAATTGTGAAGAAGTATAAAAGCTTAATGCATTAATCCCATAGGGCATCTTCTTTATGCAGTGCTTAATGAGTTTGTTTTCCATTACACAACATAAAATAAGCATGGGTACTCAGAGCTCTTCATTGGATGCAGATAAAGTAGAACTGTTGCTTTTCGACTGCTTGGCTGGCAGTAGGTGCTTTATTCACAGCTATAGTATTATAATGACAGAGCCCTGTCTGCCAAAATCAATTACTTCTTACATAAGGCAAAACAAAGACCAAAATATGTTAAAGGCACCCAATTCCATCTCATCTTGGAAGCTAAGCCGGGTCTACATTAGTTAGTACTCGGATGGGACATTGCCAACAAATGCCAGGTGCCATAGGCTATATTTTATAGAAAGGGACTATCAAAACCATCTCTGAATATTTCTTACCTCACAAAAATCCTATGAAACACATGGGGTGGTCATAAAGCAACAGGTGAGTTGAAGGAACATACAAACACAACTCAGATAGTTTCTTTTAAAATTGTGAGTAGCTATTTTGAAGGCAATATTGCAAAGTTCTGTCTGGTTCAGTCCAGTACATTTACACCTAGTTTTAATCCAGGTTTGGGAATAGTACAGTCTTGGGCCCACATCTGGCCATTAAGGGTATATTGGCCCCTTCAGATTCTTTTTCATGCAAGTAAGTGGGTGAACTGCCTCTCCTGGAGGCTTCCAAGATCAACAATTTACCTTTTAAACCACCTGTTTAACATTTGTTTGAATATCAAACAAAAAGTGAGTGCTAGAAATAATATCATACAAAAGCTGACTGGCACAACCTGGGGATCACAACCAGACACAGTGAAGACGTTATCATTTGCCCTTGCGCTTTGCTACTCTGATGCTGAATACACATACCCTGAGTGGAATACATCTCACCACATTAAAACAGGGGATGTGACTCTTAATGAGACGTGCTGCATTATCACAAGATGTCTACATCCTACATTGCTGGAGAAATTTAGCTGGTATTGCACCACCTGACATCTGTTGAGAAGTAACAACTAGTAATAAAATGACCAAGGCATTGACATCTCCGGCCCATCTTCTGTTCAGATATCAGCCTGCAAGCCAATGACTTAAAATAAGAAATAGCTTCCTAAGATCCACAGAGACCCACGCAGGAACACCTCAGCAAGCAAGAGTCCAAAAGTGGCA